AAACAGCACTGCCACCTTCAACAAACCCAGGCTCCGTACATGCGAGCTCCAGTTAGAGACAGTGCTGATACTTTCCTAGCACATTCACCATACTCTATTTCACACGCTACATAGCATAACTCCAATATAAGCTAAAGGTAAAGGAGATAAACTCACAGGATCAGCAAACACACTCACCTTGCAGCATGGTCTCAAACAAAAGGGATTCAAATAGGCCACTCCCACACTTAAATAACCTTCCTCTTGCTGGTTTTTTTCCTGAGAGGACTGATTGGTGGATCTCTCCACCTGATCTCAAGGAGTTATGTACCCTGCTTAGTAGTTCCCCCTGCTGGCCCCCCAACTGACATTATTTTTTCTCTTCCAAATCCACTGACTTGCTCTGGCTGCTTCATCTGACATTTCCTTCACTGTCTTCATCAAACTCTGTCCCCACACTCCAAGTTCTCCCAGGAGCGAGACAGTTGATCTTGCTATGAATCCCCTACACCCCACTTCCACTGGACAAATCCTAGTTTTCCATCCACGCTGCTCAGCTTCTGCTCCTAAGTCTGCATATCTAAGCTTTTTTCTTTCATAGGCTTCTTTCACTGAGTCTTCCCAAGGAACTGTCAGCTCAATGAAATAAACTATCCGTTGACTCACTGACCACAACACTAAGTCAGGCCTCTGCATGGTACAAACTATTTCCTGGGGAACAACAAGATTTCCCCCTAAATCTACTTGCATTTCCCAATCACAAGCACCTTCTAGGCGGCCACACCCTTGCCTCCTAACTAGCTTATCCCTTCTGTATTTCTCCCCCTCACGGACAAACTGAATTGCTAAACTCCTATTCTTAACACCTTCTGAATTTACTTGTCTTCATTTCCCTTCGATGCCTGCAGCTAAAAATTCCAACACCTGGTTATGTTGCCATGCATATCGGCCTTGTGACAAGCTAACTTTACAGCCTGACAAAATATGCTTTAAGGTTGCGGTACCTGAACACAATGGGCATGATGGGTCCCCATTTACCCACAGTTTTAGGTTCTGGGGGGTTGGTAACACATCGTATGTAGCCCCTACCAGGAATCTAATATGATTCTTCTCCATACTCCACAGGTCCCTCCAACTAAGCTTCCTCTTCTCTACACTTTTCTAATTCAACCACTGTGCCTGTTTAGCCTGGGCCACTACCTTTGCACCCCTTAATATCTCCTCCTGTCTACATATCTGTTCCATGACCAGCTTTCTTTTATCTTTGAGACGTGCTTTATTCCATACCAGTTTGCCTGAGCCAAGCCCCAGGCCTCCCCGGCCAAACTGAACATTACCTACAATCTGTGCATGCCTAAGAGCTATCTCTGCCTCCTGAACTGCCGATCTTGGGTTCCACTTCCTCCCCTTGGTTGGATTTGGAACCACACTCCTAACTACCACATCCTTACTCCTAGATAACAAGAGCTCTGTCCTGACCTTGGTACATTTAAATTCCTCTGTTAAACTAGATACTGGCACCTACCTATATTAGGAAGTGGTTGGGCGCTCCTAGGTGCCTAACTGACCTTTCAATTCTCTCCACAACGGATACTGGAATTTCATAAACTGACAATGGCCACATTAACCTAGGATATAGCCCAAATTGCAAACACCACAACTTCAACTTTCCTGGAAGTTCTGATTTATCTATTCTATCCAATCCTTCCGCCACATCTTTTCTAAATTTCACCACCTGTTCCTCATCATTCAACTACACATTGTACCACCTACCTAAGCTCTTTACTGACTTTTCCCAAATTGTTGGGATTTCCTCATCATCTATGACAAACTTCCTATCACTTAACTTCCCTCTATGTATCAAGATGCTTCTAGACTTACTAGGCTTGATCTTCATGCTGGCCCACTTGAGGTTCTTATTTACCTTCTCTAGTAGCCTCTTTGTACATGGCATTGTTGTGGTCACCAGTGTCATGTCATCCATGCAAGCCCGAACTGGTGGAAGATGCAACCCCTTCTGCCGTCTCTCCCCACCTACCACCCACTTAGAAGCCCCGATAATTACTTCCATTGCCATAGTAAATGCTAATGGAGAAATTGTACACCCTGCCATGATGCCTATTTCTCGCCTCTGCCAAACTGTTGTGAAACCTGCTGTACTTACCTAATATCCTGAAAGTATGCTTTCACTAAGTTAACAACTAACTGTGGCACTTTGAAGTAGTCAAATGCACTCCAAATGAGGCTATGTGGTACTGAACCAAACACATTTGCAAGATCCAAAAATATAACATGCAGGTCCCTTTTTTATAATCTTCACCACCTGAATCTGGTGCCAGATCATGCTAGTATGCTCTAAACACCCTGCAAAACCTGGTATTCCTGCCTTCTGCACCATAGTATCTATTAAGCTATTCCTTTCTAAGTAGCTAGAAAGCTAGCTAGCTAGCTAATCTCTGCGCTACTACACTAAAGAAAATCTTCCCCTCTACATTCAAGAGAGAAATCATCCGGAATTGGCTAAGGTCCACAGACTCCTTCTCCTTAGGAATAAGGACGCCCACTGCTCTACGCCATGCTCTTTAATTTGTTTCTCCCAAATTATTCTTAGCTGTTTCCACAAAAATTTAAGGATATCAGGTGCACTTTTATAAATCCTGTAGGAGACTCCATGAGAAGCCTTTGCACGCCTGACCACCTCCTGAGCTTCCTTCCACCTAGGTGGCCTGACATCCATCTCATGCTCTATCCCTCCTAATGGAGGGATATCCGGTGGGAAACCTACTACCCTATTCTTCTCTAAATCTGAATATGTATTTCTTAAATATTCTTCAACCTCTAGCCTTGCTGCTTTAAGCTGCCCTCCCTTTTGCTGGCTGAACAATCCTTTAACAAACTTAAAAGGGTCCCTGAAAAAACCTGTCATTACATGTTCCTTCTTCCTCCTCTTTTTCCTGAGATGCTCTGCCCTTCTAAGAACTGCTAACCTGCTTCTCAACTCCTCTTGCAACACATTAATTCCCTCCCTTTCTTCTTCTGTAGCCCTTTTCCATTGCTTTCTTAACTGTCTCCTTTCCTTAACTAACTTCTCTATTTCTTTTTGCCGCCTAGACTTACCTGACTGTACCCTATCACTCCTCTTTCTCTCATGCACCCCAAACCTCTCTGCACCATATGAGTAAATTATATCTCCCATTTTTTCTAATCTTGCTATTGCATTTCCTCTAAGCCTACTTAAGATTACTGACAAATCTCTATTAACTATCTCCCATTCTTTACTGTCATTTGCCCTAGGCCACTTTAACCTTTTGATCTATGGTTCTCTCTCTGACTGGCATACTGACCTCAGTGTCACCTGCATCCTCTCTTACTACCCCCTCCTCCTCCTCCTCAGTGACAGTGTTACTGATATCCTGCGAACTGTGGTTTTCTACCTGCCACTGGACTTCATCCGACTGACTCGACTGGAAGTAGTGATCAATGCGGCTACTCTGCCCTTTCTTTGCCACACACTTCTTCTTTTCCTGATGAGTTCTGAGGCCTTTTATTGGTGTTACTTTCTGCCAGATGCAAGGACAAACCTGAAGCATCTTGTTCTCAACTGTGCTACTTTTATCCTCTACAGATGTGCTCACCTTGCCCTGAGTGCTGCTAATTCTAGCCCTGGTGGATAGGTCAGTGCCCCTAACCTTCACTAAGTCACAGATCCAATGCATAGTCGTGACCGTTCAAATGTCTGTTACCATGTAATCCACCTGTGAGTCATTTTCCACCCCAGCTCTCGCTGACTCTTGGGGTATTTTCCCTATGTTGGCTGTAGCTAATTTTGGTTGTAGTAAGGCTGCTAAGCCTCACCACTGCAACCATGGGTTGCTAGCCCATGCCAGCACCTTTGGTGTCTTCTTACTAGTGCTTTGGTTTTCTTGGAGTTCAGTATTCCCAGTGTTCTGGATGTGTTTTTGGATTTTTCTTTTACCTGTTATTTGCCTGTCTCTGGACCCTCTCAGGTAGTAAGCCCATTCTGTCCCATCAGTCTGTTCTGTGCTTGGGACCAAACCTATACTGTTGAGAAACTCTGACAGATAATTGCTACAGTATTTGTAATGCGACAGAATTTCCTTTTACACAAGGAGAGTAAAGGCTTATAAAACACATTTCTGCTCACTGAATTCTTTATCTAAAGAATACTCAGATATGTAAATCTGCAGGAGTGCTCTACTTAATTAGTATGTATATTTCCAACAATAATTATTGCAAATGATAAAAAAGGTTAATTAGGAAACCTTTATGTTTCAAAATTCAAACAGAATTAAGCTGCAAAAGCAGGAAAGAACAATGTAATAGTATGTGAAACAGATTTCTTGGTAGTTTTTCCAAGTCTAGCCTAGTTTTTAAGGAGATGTTAAAGAAAAAGTGTAAAAATTGTCAGCTTTGGTCTTAAAAGATACAGGAAATAAATGTGTCTTGTAGGAAAAATATGAAGCAAAATAGAACGACGTGTTTTTTTGTTGTTGTTTTTTTTTTAAATCTTAAACAAGCCAGAATGTATATTTATTTCACTTTCTTAAAGGGTAGAGCTGTTTATAAAATGTTTTAAATTCAATGAGTTGCAGAACACAAGATAGCTAAAGGATGGGGAGAAAAATAAAGGTGATGTTTGTCCCTAGAGTATTATTAGAACTGGGTATATGGTTGTTGTCAGATCAGCTTTAATGTATTGACAAATTAATTTGTGTAATTTCTGCTCAGTGTTAATAGAGTGAGTGGTAGTGCAGCGGGAAATCACAGCATAATTAAACTGGCACTGTGTGACACCTAGGGGTTGGAACTGGAGGAGCAAGCCCCCTTCACTCCATCCTCAACCTCCAACCAGGCATCAGGGGCAGTGTGGAGCTTATTTTTGTGACCAGAAAACATAACATTTCAGTACATGGGTACAAATAACATACTAGGCTTATTGAAATTCTATTTAGAAAAAAAAAAGCAAGTGTGAGAAAAAAACTGATGGTGCTTTCACTCACCTTTGGCATATCCGTCCCCTGGATATATGTAAGGATTATACACATCCATAATGAACACTCGCCTGTCATCCAAGAAATCACGCTCGTATCCATTTCCCTACAACAGAGCAGAATCACAACTTTGATCAAAACTGCAATTACTGCCTCACGGTTGTACGCCTCCCCAAACCAGTCAGTTTTCCATGTCTGTGAAAACATGGATGCTTCACACACATTTTCCCCCCGACAGCACAGATGAGCTGTACAATCAGCATAGTTTCAAGGAGGACACCCGAGATTAGTGTCACCAGTTGAGCGTCTGACGAAATATCTCCCCTTTAACAAGATCATATTTCTCCTGTCTTAGCTTCTCTGCACTGGCTCCCTATAAAATCCAGAACTGAAATTAAAATCCTACTGTTAACTTATAAAGCTCTAAATGGTCAGGCTCCGTCATATCTTAGAGAGCTCATAGTGCCTTATTATCCAACAAGAACAATGCACTCTGAGAAAGCAGGGTTACTCGTGGTCCCTAAAATCTTCAAAAGTAGATCAGGAGCCAGAGCCTTCAGCTATCAGGCTCCTCGCCTGTGGAATCATCTTCCTGTTACGGTCTGGGAGGCAGACACCATCTCCACATTTAAGACTAGACTTAAGACTTTCCTCTTTGATAAAGCTTATAGTTAGGGCTGGCTCAGGCTTGCCCTGTACCAGCCCCTAGTTAGGCTGACTTAGGCCTAGTCTGCCGGAGG